GGATGTATTTATATATGCCACCTAAAATTCTTTCCGGACCAAAGCGTGATTTTAATAAAACAATAAACAGACTCATTCAGGCTATGCTGACAGCTAACATTAGAGTTTCCAAAAGTTTAAAGTAAAAATGGATTCCAACACATATAGCAGAAAACACTACTTTAACAAATTTTTAATGTTTTTAAAAATTTATTTCTGAGAGAGACAGGGAGAGCAGGGGAGGGTCAGAGAGAGAGGGAGACACAGAATCTGAAGCAGGCTCCAGGCTCCGAGCTGTCAGTGCAGAGCCTGACGTGGGGCTCGAACCCACGAACCTGAGATCATGACCTGAGCCAAAGTCGGATGCTTAACCGACTGAGCCACCCAGGCGCCCCAGAAAATATTACTTTAAATAACATCACCCCGTAAAACAAAGTACAAATGCTTCGAGGAGTGAACTACAGATGCAGCTTTGAACCTAGAAAAGAAGGAGGCAAATTACATTCTTTCTCAGTCTAAGTGAAGCATTCAAGAGGTTTCTTCTCAGATCTGCACACATTAATTTAAATAGAACCCTTCCCTTGGGCAACTTTATCTTCCAAACGCTTCTTTCTTTTCATTGACGTACGGTTTTGTTTTTCCGACTTCTCTGGTGCATCTAATGCGGGGTGAGGGTATCCCTTACTGTCATGCATTTTGAAGCCTCATCCCAAATGGAGGGATTGCCCTAAAAACTGCTTGGGAACCTTGGAAGATTTCCACAGTTTCTCCTTCTGGGTCTATTCAAAAGACCTATTTCTAGGCATTGGACTCTGACAATGTCTGGTGTAAAGACATCTGGGTGTCTTCCGTGTTCTTACGTTTGGGATGCGGGTAGTGAGTGGGGTTGCTTTGTGGGGAAGCAGCCTCCAGTGGACACCCCACAGAAGGGCTGCCCAGGCCCCTCTGGGAAGCAGGCTGCCAGGGAGGACCATGGGTAGGGTGTCCTCTGCTCTACCCCCTGATGCCCAGAGTTGTGACCCAGGCTCACCCCCCTCCCCTGGGCTGTGGGAAGTGTTTCTCCCTGGCACCTGTCAGGGTTGGGGGGTGGGGGACAGGCAGCTGGGGTACAGCTCCTCTCTCTAACTCGCTGCTATGACCCAAGATACATCCGCTGATTCCCAGGAGCTGGAAGTCGTATCCTCCTTTTATTTTTGCGTAAGAAAATAAACACACACTACTGCTATTATTTTTTAAGTTTTTATTTGAATTCCAGTTAATGTACACTGTAATATTAGTTTCAGGTATACAATGGAGTGATTCAACACTTTCATAGAACACCTGGGGCTTAGTACGAGTGCATTCCTTAATCCCCATCACCTATTCCCCACCCCACCCCCGCTTCCCCTCTCGTAACCACATATGAGTGAAATCATATGGTAGTTGTCTTTCTCTGATTGACATATTTCGCTTAGCATAATATTCTCTAGCTCCATCCGTGTCGTTGCAAGCGGCAAGATTTTCTTCTTTTTGATGGCCAATAATATTCCAGCGTGTGTGTGTGTGTGTGTGTGTGTGTGTGTGTACCACATCCTCTTTATCCATTCATCAGTCAGTAGACACTTGGGCTGTTTCCATAATTTGGCTATTGTAGATAATGCTGCTATAAACATCGGGGTGAGGGTATCCCTTTGAATTAGTATTTTTGTATTCTTGGGGGTAAATACCAAGTCATGCAATTGTTGGACCATAGAGCAGTTCTATTTCTTTTAAGTTTATTTATTTATTTTGAAAGAGAGAGAGAGAGTGAGGGGAGGGGCAGAGAGAGAGGGAGAGAGAATCCCAAGCACAGAGCCCGATGTAGGGCTGGAACTCACCAACTGTGAGATCAGAGACCTGAGCCACAACCAAGGGTCAGACACTTCGCTGACTGAGCCACCCAGGCGCCCCAGGGCAGTTCTATTTTTAATGGTGAGGGGCCTCCATACTGTTTTCCAGGATGGCTGGATTGATGCATTCCCACCAACGGTACAGCTATTCTATTACGGTTAAAGAATTGGCAAACGAGAATCTTTTCCTTTTCTTCACAGTGGTTTGTTGCTGCCAAAAGTAGCAGGTGCCCCGAAGGAGACCAAGGCTGTGGGCCCCGGCGGGGCTTTGAAAGAGACGGATTGTAATCCTCCCCTGACCACGTAATGTGCTGTGTGCCCCTGGCAAGGAGACTGACCTCTCGGACCCTCTTTTGAATCTGTTCAATGGTTAGTGGTAGCTATGACAAAGAGGTCCCGTGGGTAGAGGGCTCGAGGGTGCGTCAGTAGCCATCAGTCTTCCCCCACCACATCCTACGTCCCTTTGTGGGGAAAGAATTAATTACAAATGAGTAGCAAGAATTCGGAAGCAAAATTCATCCTATAATCAAGCAGCTTCCAAAGCCCTAAGGCTAGCGGCTTCAGTGAGAAATTATTGTCAATAGCCGATCATCCAGCAACACTGTCCTCTGAGCCTCGGTTTCCACCAAATCAGTACAACAACGTCCTCTGCCCGCTCTAAAAACTGCTGAAAACAAGGACTGCTCTTTGTCTGATGAGGGAACAAACTCAGAAAGGCACCCTTATGCCAATATAACTAATGGGACCTAAAACCCCATCAGAAAAACGGGACTTAGTCTCAGCTGGTTCCATCAGGGAATTAGTGGTACTTCCATTCTCTCTGAGATTCTAACACCTGCCTTTCTAAACGGTTTTATTTTGGGGTGCCTGGGTGGCTTAGTCGGTTAAGCGTCCGACTTTCACTTAGGTCATGATCTCGCGGTTCGTGGGTTCGAGCCCCGCGTCGGGCTCTGTGCTGACTGCCAGCTCAGAGCCTGGAGCCTGTTTCAGTCTGTGACTCCCTCTCTCTCTGACCCTCCCCTGCTCACGCTGTCTCTCTCCTAGAAATAAATAAAACATTTAAAAAAAATTTTTAAAAAATAAATGGTTTTATTTTTCTTTATAGCAATAATAACTGCCTGACTTTTATTCGTTTGTTTATAGCCTGCTCTGCACTCAAAGTTAGGCTCCCAGGGCAGGGACCCGGGCCGTGTCTTTGTCTTTGTAGACAGGCACCAGGAGGGTTTGCAGATGAGTGGGTTTCTGAAGTTCATAGGTCAAACCACCTGCAATTGCTGAGGGGGTATTACTTGCAGGTGACCTCTTCCAGCTAACAAGTTTATATCTTAACAGATAGCACTTTAACAAAGAGGGGTCAATCCGGTGGTGAAAGCCTCATCACAGGCTGTTCGGGGGCAGAAGAACCTTTGCATCGGTCCCGATCACCTTTCTCAGGCAGCCACCTGTACAGAGAGTGGTCGAATGGATCTGAATCCCAGGATGGGTTTTAGTGATGATTCTCACGGTGGACATTTCTGGAAGGAAAGAGAAACCATCTTGGAGGGCTGCTTGTTATGTGCAGGGGTAATAGCTCAGCGCCAATGGTGTTTACAGCTTCTCAGACCGCCCCTGATCCCTAAGTGAACTTCCTCGGGCCTCAGTTTCCTACCAAATTTTTATTTGCCCCATTTTAATGGGGTCCCGCTAGCAAATTGGCTGTTTGTAAATCAGAAAATCTGGGTTTTGGGGAACGGTGGAGGGGTCTGCCACATTAAAAACAGACAATCAACAGGGCACTTGTTGGGATGAGCACTGGGTGTTGTATGGAAACCAATTTGACAATAAATTATATTAAAAAATAAAATAAAAGACTGTTATGACAAAAAAACCCCCCAATCAATTATGATGCAATTCAATAGAATCCATGCAATTACCGAGGTCTGCACATATACATTTTCAATGGCTCTCTTTGGTATGGGAAGCACACAGTTAAAATCATTGTTAAAAATCCTTGGCAAACACACACACACACACACACACACACACACACACACACACACACACACACCAAGTAGTCAAATACGATAATTAGGACCAAGACATTTAGCCAGGAGCTTCTTGAAATTTTCTTTGCTCAGTTCGGCTTTGGGAGAAATGGTGTGAGTGTGAGTGTGTGGGTGTGAGTGAGCGTGAGCGTACGCACGCGACTGGCGAAACAGGAAGCCTGCGTTCGTGTGTGGTACCACTCACTTCCCCACACTCCGTTCCTCTCAGCGATTCCTCTCAAATCCCACCTTCCCACCCCCCTCAGCATCCTCAGCCCCGAGGATTCGAGAGACGGGAGCGACCCCGCCCCCTTATGAATATGCAGCAGCGAGGGCGGCGGGCGGGGCGCGGGCGCGAGCGGAGCGCCGCGCGGAGGTTCACCCTGCGCCGCCCGCGCGGGTCCCGCCGGCCGCGCCCACCCGCCGCCGGCCGCTCGGGGACCGGCGCGCGACAGCCCGGCCGCCGGCCTGGGACGCGCGGGGGGACTGGGTCCTCGCCGGCGCGGTGTGGCCTCTGGGCAGCCCCTCGGAGCCCGTCGGGACTCCCGGCCCGGAAGGCGGCCGCCGGCGGCACTACCCGCCCCGGGACCGCGGGGCCCCCGGGGCCCCGCCCTTTGTGGTGCAGATGAGGGGCGCGCGGGGGCCCTGGGGGCGGCGCTCGCCCCGGACCGAGTTTGCGCGCGGCGTCTCGGGGACTTCCTCGGCACTTTGAGCCCGGCGCGGGCCGGCCGCCCCCTGCAGGGACGTGCGCCCCGCCAGCCGCAGGAATGCTGAGGAAGGTGAGTGGCGTGTCCTCGGCCGGCTGTCACCTCCCCCGCGCGTTTGGAGGGCGGACCGCCGAGCAGCAGGTGGCTGGGATCCCGCGGGACAGTTTTACGGAAACAAAGGCGACAGAGGGCGGGGGTCGGCGGCTCTGGGGAAGCGCCCGGGCGGAGCCGCTGGGAGGCTGAGGTCTGAAAAGTTGCCGCGACCCCGCAGGTGCGGGGCCGGCGCGCGGAGCGGGGCCGGGGCGACCGCGCACAAAGCCGCGCGCCGGCGCCGCCGCGTTGCCATGGCAGCGGGGGCGGGGCCGAGCGCGGCGCGGCGGCGTTGCCGGGCGACCGCGGGGCGCCGGCGCGGGCGAGGCGCGCTCTTCGGAGCATCTCCCCGAGATGAGCCCAAAACTTGTCTCTCCGGATCCGTAACTCGAGTGTATCGGCCACCGCTTGCCCTTTGCAAGGGACTCAGGCCTCTAGGCTGTCACCCGCTTAAGGCCTTAACACTCCGCTTTCGAAAATACTGGGTTGTGGACTGAGGGTAGACGTGAAAAAGTTACACGATACACGGTAACAAATCAGTAGCCATAAAAAGTATCGGTTCCTCCTCTTCCAAATAGCGCCTGCTGTTGAGTATTCCTTAACGATCATCATTTTTTAAAAAAATGAAATACAGAACCTGGTTTGGACCCATGAAAATGAGTTGACCTTCAACCTTCCGACATATTGACCAAAATCTTTGCAAAATAAAAGCTTGTGCAGTAGGTGAAACATTCAGGCAGTTGCGTCTTCAGATGTTTTACAAAGCATGGCAGAGAATTTCACGAAGCATGGGAGACAGTATTTCACTGGGTATTTTCTTACATGTAAGTGTGCCAGAGAATTTTGGCTCATTATCTCAAGGATGATTTGTTTAGCCATACACTACAGGAAAAAAATATTGGAAAGGAATTTGATCTTTTCTAGAGCAGTGATTGGCTGCTACGGCAGTACTTTTCACTCCCCCGCCCTTTTGCCCATTTATCCTAGCAGAGCTATAAAGGTGACTTTTGGTGTTTTTAGTTTGTTTCTCAGATTTTGATTGTTTGCCAAAGGCATTGATCCGTTAGTAGTTCTTAAACTGCGTTCCACACACTAGTGTATTTCTTTCTCTGCCCCCAGTTTAAAATTGTCTATGTGCTCTTTAATCATTCATGTATTTATTTTGTCAAATGTTTATTAGGCTTTGCGACGTGCTGTATACAGAGCCAGACTTGCAGACTTGGGAGGAAAAGAATTAAATGGTGAGAGAGACATACATTGAATTAGAACAAGTTACAGTTTCCAGGGCGCTCTGGGTGGCTCAACTGGTTAAGCGTCCAACCTGGGCTCAGGTCTCGATCTCGCCGTTCAGGGGTTTGAGCCCCCAGTCAGGCTCTCTGCCATTGGCACAGAGCCCTCTCTGGATCCTCTGTCTCTCTCTCTCTGCCTCGCCCCTGCATGTGGGCATGTGTGTACACTCCTATCTCAGAAATTAATAAACATTTTTTAAAAAATTAAAGTTGACACTTTAGGAAGAGCAAAAGGCTAGGAAGCAATTATAATCAACGACGACACATTCTCATTTAGAAATTACAGTCAAGACATCCCGTGCTGCTGGCCCGGAAAGGTGCACTGATCACAGCCATGCTCTCCCAAGGCAGACATTAATGACGTACCAATTCAAAATATGAGGATGGTAAGTCTTGAAAAGTACAGTAATTTGCCTCAGGTCTTACAGTTAGTAAGTGGTAAAGTCAGGATCTAAACCCAATGTGACTGCTGTGACACGCTGCTTATGAAGCATTAAGCCCCTTTCTCCCTATGTTCCTACACACCCAAGTTGCCATGTTTTGATGATTCTTTTTTTTTTTAATGTTTTATTTATTTCTAGCAGAGAGAGAGAGAGACAGCGTGAGCAGGGGAGGGTCAGAGAGAGAGAGAGTCACAAAGTCTGAAACAGGCTCCAGGCTCTGAGCTGGCAGTCAGCACAGAGCCCGACGCGGGGCTTGAACCACGAACCGCGAGATCATGACCTGAGCGAAAGTCGGACGCTTAACCGACTAAGCCACCCAGGCGCCCCGCCATGTTTTGATGATTCTTAATAGCGAGTGTGAATTTCTAAAACAAACAAAAAAGATTACACGGTTTTCTTGTTGGTTGAGATGTTTTCACAGTCAGTTTTGTTTTTGTTTTTGTTTTTTTATAGACAGCATGAGCTAGAGAGAAGGGCAGAGAGAGAGGGAGGGAGAGAGAGAGAGAGAGAATCTCTATACTGAGCGTGGAGCCCCGCATCGGGCACAACCCTGGAATCACGGCCTCAGCTGGAATCAGGAGTCAGACGCTTAACCAACTTAGCCACCCGGGCGCTCCCACAGTCAGATATTTCTTAAGTTAAATAACAGTTACATTTCTGAAGGATATGTTTTTCCTACTGGAGTGTTGCTATTGTCAATTATCTTTTTCCAGGGGTTCCTGAGGAGCTTATGGAAAACAAAGAATTTGATTATTTAAATCTAGTTTTAAGGATATCAGAGATCCTTGGGGCACCTGGGTGGCTCAGTGGGTTAAGCGTCTGACTCTTGGTTTGGCTCAGGTCATGATCTTCTGGTTCTGGGGTTCAAGCCTTGTGCAGAGCCTGCTTGGGATTCTCTCTTCCTTCCTCTATGCCTCTCCCTCCTCTCTCTGTCACTCTCTCTCTGTCTCTGTCCCTCTGTCTCAAAATAAACTTTTAAAAAAAAAAGAATATTGGTGTGTATTAAGGCATTCTACTTTACAAATGATTATGGAATTTGTTTCAAACCAAATACGCTACTTGGCACTCAGGTTTTTATTACCTTTCTTAATTTTAAATCTTTTAAGTCAGATTTGTTAACTTCTGCTGGCAGTGACATCTAGTAGGCAACAGGTGTCTTAGAAAGTTCAGGCATGTACTTGATTTGACCTGATCAGAGCCCTGAGAACCACTGGGAACTGACTTCATAAGTGTTTTTTACTGTAAAAATTATTTTTCTAGGGGCGCCTGGGTGGCTCAGTGGTTAAGTGTCCAACTTTGGCTCAGGTCATGATCTCACGGTTCGTGGGTTCTAGCCCCGCATTGGGCCCTGTGCTGACTGCCAGCTCAGAGCCTGGAGCCTGTTTCAGATTCTGTGTCTCCCTCTCTCTCTCTGACCCACCCATACTCACGCTGCCTCTCTCTGTCTCTCAGAAATAAAACAATTAAAAAATTAAAAAAAAATTATTTTTCTAAATAGATTCATAGGATCCATGAAGCAAGAACCAGATCTTTTGTGTCTTTAGAACCCATCTTTTAACACCAAGTACAACATGCTCCATCAGTATTAAGTGGCAAGAGAAACAAAAGTAAACTTTATCAGGCCAATGAAATATAGAGTAGAAGTAATCCTTTAAAATATATAATATGTAAATGATTCTTTAAATTTCATATAATATTTAGAGTCATAGACGTTCTAGTTATTTGATTTTTTTCATGATACTATATTAGAAAAACTGAGCTATGGTGATTAATATTTAAAGTGTTTTCCAGTGTTTTATCTTCTTTTTAAAAATTTTTTTCACATGTATTTATTTTTGAGAGAGAAAGTGAGACAGAGCATGAGTGGCGGAGGGGCAGAGAGAGAGGGAGACACAGAATCTGAAGCAGGTTCGAGGTTCTGAGCTGTCAGCAGAGAGCCCAACACAGGGCTCGAACTCATGGACCATGAGATCATGACCTGAGCTGAAGTCGGACGCTTAACCAATTAAGCCACCCAGGTGCCCCCAATGTTTTATCTTAATTGAACTCACAACCACCATGGAATAATTCCCATCACTATTTTTTTTTTTAATATATGGAAACATAGAAAGTCAGAGAAGTTGAGTGACTTGGTCAGAGTCAGCCAGAGAGGTAGAGGCACATCTGATGATGATGTCAAATGTTTTGCACTCTACCATGGCAAGCCAGATGCACCTGTGAGCTCTGGAAGCCTGAGCCTCTCCACAGACCTGGCGATGAAGAGTGCAAGATGCCTTCTCTCTCTCTCTCTCTCACCTTCCAAGGCTCTATGTCTGTCTGGGAAGAAGGGAAGAGACCCTCCTTTAAAAGACAAATACAGGGGCACCTGGGGGGCTCAGTCAGTTAAGCGTCCAACTCTTGGTTTCAGCTCAGGTCATGATCTCATGGCTCATGGGTTTGAGCCCCACATCGGACTCTTGATAGTGCAGAGCCTGCTTGTGATCTCTCTCTCTTCCTCTCTGCCTCTCCTCTGCTCATGCTCTCTCTCTCTCTCTCTCTCTCTCTAATACACTTAAAAAAAAAAAAAAGACAAATACCGACGAGACAAGGCAGAAGACAGAAAGACATGGAGAGAAGCTCATTGGACCAAAATAAAGTGGAATGAAGTTAATAAAAGAAGGAGCCGGTCCTCACAACTGGTGGTTAGGAGAGCAGGTGTATTAGTTAGCTAGGATTGTTGTAACAAAGGACCACAGACTGGCTAACAGATGTTTATTGTCTCATAGTTCTGGAGGCTATAAGTCCAAGGTCAGTGGTGTCAGCGGGTTGTTTTTCTCTGATACCAGGCTTCTTAGCTTGCATGTGACCGTGGTTTTGCTGCATCCTCACGTGGTCTTCCTCTGTGTGTATGCCTGTCTGTGTCCTAATCTCTTCTTAGGACACTTGTCACTTTGGATTAGGGCCCACCCATATGACCTCATTTTACCTTAACTGCCTCTTTAAGGGTCCTATCTCCACATACTGAGGCTCTGGAGGGTTAGAACTTCAACCTATGAATTTTGGAGCAAACTCAGTTCAGTCCATAGTAGAGAATAAGAAAAGCGAACGTGGTCTTTAACTCTGAACACAAGACCTATTTCCATTGCTTTATTCCTGTTAGCATCCTGTCCTGGCACAAATAAATGTTTGCGCAAGTTGTGGCAAATGTTTTTACATCAGCATACTCCCCTGGATGTATGAAGTAACAATGAGAGATTCAGAACTGAATCCTTCTATATTTAGCTTGCTTCCTACTTTATTTTCACTCTCACCGCTGGAGGGCCAGCGTCAAGCCTTGTCAGGTTTTGACCAGGGCAGACGAAGCTGATGATCCCATTGCCAGCTAGGTCTCATCCATGTCTCTGCCTTTTTTGAGCCGTGGAGTGCATATGATTTGAGTCCTACGCGTTGCCTGTATAGCAGGATGAATCCAATAAAAATGGACTCACAGGGGCGCCTGGGTGGCTCAGCCAGTTAAGCGTCCGACTTCGGCTCAGGTCATGATCTCACAGTTTGTCGGTTCAAGCCCCAGATCGGGCTCTGTGCTGACAGCCCAGAGACTGGAGCCTGTCTTCTGAGTCTGTGACTCCCTCTCTCTCTGACCCTCCGCTGCTCACGCTGTCTCTCTCTCTCTCTCTCCTAGAAATAAATAAAACATTAAAAAAAAAAAAAACAGAAGAATTTGAAAGTTTTCCCCCAAGGCATTAAACAGCTAGCAGGGTTATAATTGGAATGTGTTGCAAAGACTCAAATTATTAAAATGCTGTGGAAGGGGCGCCTGGGTGGCTTAGTCGGTTAAGCGTCCGACTTTCGCTTGGGTCATGATCTCGCGGTTCGTGGGTTCGAGCCCCGCGTCGGGCTCTGTGCTGACTGCCAGCTCAGAGCCTGGAGCTTGTTTCAGTCTGTGACTCCCTCTCTCTCTGACCCTCCCCTGCTCACGCTGTCTCTCTCTCTCTCTCTCTCTCTCCTAGAAATAAATAAAACATTTAAAAAAAAAATAAAATAAAATGCTGTGGTCATAGAATAGCAGACAGGAGTGGGAAGCCGGCAGGGCTTGTGGCCAGGGCCTTGCCCAAAGCACAGAAACTGCTTTGTAAAGGTGGGAGCCAGTGCTGTGTTTCAAGCTGGCCAAAGAAAATTCCAGAGTCTTCTGCAGTACAAGTTTCTGTATCTCACCAGTCATCAGAATCTCAAAGTACTTTTGTTTGACTTCCTTCATTACTTCCTGTTCTGCCTTCAGAAAAGGTGACATATACCTGTCTACTTTTCTTCATGTAGTATTTTGTGAGTTGCTAAAACAATTTATTTTTGATGTTTATTTACTTTTGAGAGAGAGACAGAGAGACAGAGCATGAGTGGGGGAGGGGCAGAGAGAGAGGGAGACACAGAATCTGAAGCAGGCTCCAGGCTCTGAGCTGTCAGCACAGAGCCTGACGCGGGGCTCGAACCCACCAACTGTGAGATCCTGACCTGAGCTGAAGTCGGACGCTTAAATGACTGAACCACCCAGGCGCCCCTAACAGAATTTTAATAGGTCTCTTCTTGGCCCTTTTTTGGAAGTCGAACTGAGGCTCTGTCTGTTGTTTCAGGAATCTGTTTCTATTAGTCCCACAAAAGCTACCCCTCACCATCTGGAATCGTGGGGTTATTTATGCCTTCATGGCACCTCCCTGAGTGGTTCCCCTTTGGGGACCATCCTAGTCATGTCTAAGCATGAAGCTTAGACTATCTTATGAAATATCCCTGCTAAAGAATACGCATCCAATATACTTGGTGGAGTTTTTTCAAGAAATACCAGAAGCTTTTGAAATGTGCTCTCTGGATGTGATCCAGTCGCTTTCCATGATGGGTGGTTTCAGAAACAGGTTCTTGTGTGGAAGGGCTATTGTTACCCAGCCAGTAAAAGAGGGCCTATTTCTCAGGGCAGTGCGTGCTTAATTAGTGAAGGGATCGATGCCAGTACCTGGAATTTGAAAAGTCAGCTTTGAAGGGCAGAAACTTCTATGTCTCCCTCTGACTTGAGCCAGACAGGGTCTAACTGGCCAGTTGTGCAAGCCAGCTGACCCAGGTCCAGGAGGTGGGCTGGCTTGCTGCTTCTGTGACACCTCTTCATTAAAAGGTTGCCCCTGAGGCGCTGCCCTCAAATGAGGAGAAAAGAGCCAAACACACGTGTGTAAAGAGGAAGGAAGAACTACTGTCCATGGCTGTTTACGACTTCCCCCGATTCTGGTACAGCGACGAATGATTCATTCCCCTGTGTCACTGAAGAAAATCATGACCTTGAAGTGGCTTGGAAGTTCCCAGGCAGTCACCCAGTATTTAACAAGCACTTGTGTCCTCGGTGCCGACGGGGCATGAGAAGATAGGTCGTGAGCTTTCTCCTCACATAGCTGACACTCAAGTTCTGGGTCAACAGATATGAAAATAGGAAAGCACGTTAAAGACTCGGCCAGGGGCTCTCCTAGACAGCTGCAGCCCCAGGGACGACTGCTCCAGGTGGGGCTCAGTGACCAGAGAGCTCTGTCTTCCTTCCTCTTTGTGGCTTTGCAGAAGCTTATGTCCGTCAAGTTCTTGCCTCCCCAGCTCTCTAAGCCCGGGCCCTTTCCGCTTTCCAGAGTCTTGCCTCAATCCAGTAAGGATGCTCTACAAATCTTATTTTTGAATGTGTTTAAGCCAGGGTGAATCTGGCCATGGGATTTTAAGCCTTCCTGTTCCTGGAAGAAGCTCCTCACCATTCGAAGGAAATAAAAGAAGGGGCCAGGTTGAAGGAGCAGAAAAGAGAACCACTTCTAATCCCTTTCCTCACTGATAGTAGTCGTAAACCCTTGGGAAGCCATAAAAAGGCTGCCTGAGTATACAGGGCAGAAGGATATGTAGGCAACATATGACTGTGAGACTGTGTTGGAAGTAACATCAGGGCAGAGAGGAGAAAAACACTGGTCCGGAAGCCTAGACAGAATGTAGGGCAGAAGCAAGTGGTTGTTAACCAAAGACTGGGAAGAAAATAAACATGGCGGCTGGGAAGCCAGCTCCAGAAACGGAAGTGCCCCCTGGGGTTATCCTCCAGAAGCCCCAGGCTCGGCGCTCCTCACCCACTGGACCCCAGCTCCCCCCTTCCTGATGACCAGCAGGAACTTGGAATTGGAGGAGTCCCCAGCAGGGAGAATAGATGCCATCACAGTTCCTCACATTTCAAGACGGAACGGTAAATTCAGTTCTAGGGTGTTAGATTTGCAGGTGGTTTTGTTTGTTTTTTAAGCGTACCCCTGTGCCACGTGCATACATTCGGTATCTGGGGCTGGCTCAGGGACGTATTCATTGTATATCTGTTGCCAGGGAAACTATGTGCCAAATTCCAAACAAGAGAAATGTACTGTTATTGCGCAAAGTGTTTGGGGCATGAAGACTGATGCAACAAGAATTTTATTTGGATGGCCAAGATGTAAGAGCAAAGAGCATTCCTGGAGGGTTGGGAGATGTGCATGTAAGTCTTGTGTCTAATAGCAATTAAAAAATGTTTAGCAAGCCAGATTTCCAGAGGTTACATTTTGTTATCTGCAAGAGTAGGGACATGATGAGATAATATCTAAGGCTCCTTACTTGTCTGGAATTCTGCCCTTTGTAAAAGACAGCCTCAGATGGAATGTGTCTTCTCTAAGAATACCAAATGCTTGCCCGTGATCAGGCCTTTAGCCTTCTATACATGAGTTTTCCAGTGACCCTATGTGACTATATTGGTCAATGATAATGTTACCAACCTGTTTTCATACGCGAGGTTGGAAAAGTCTTTACAGGAAGTTTTAGAGGTGAAAAGTTATGAGCTTTTCTTAATTCATTCTTTCAGTTCATGGCTTTGTAAATATATAATTGTCTTCAGATGCTCCTGGTTTCCATGTTTTGGCTGTGAGATCTCAGCTTTGAGAAGCCTAAGGACATACAGCAGTCATAGTGCTATAGAAATGTCACCGTCCTTTGAGACGACTTTTGTTGTCATTATATTACATCTCGAGTAGACTATCTCAGGATCCATCCTCGACCCAAATGCTTGTAATTAATTTCTTTTGATTGAGAACACAGAAGGATCTCCCTGTGCCACTAGTGAATTGCAGCAATACAAAGTGAAGTACAGGGGCGCCGGGCGGAGGGGTGGGGGGGTTGGGGGGGAGGGGAGGGGGTTCAGTCGGCTAAGCGTCCGACTTCAGCTCAGGTCGTGATCTCACGGTTTGTGAGTTTGAGCCCCGCATCAGGCTCTGTGCTGACAGCTCAGAGCCTGGAGCCTGGTTCAGATTCTGTGTCTCCTTCTCTCTCTGCCCCTCCCCCGCTTGTGCTCTCTTTCTCTCTCAAAAACAAATAAAATTAAAACAAAAAACCAAAGTGAAGTACAATGATCATTTAGGGTAGCATATGTAATAGTGTAAATATGTGTAAATATTTACACATTTACAAATAGTGTAAAATAGAAAACATAACATGAAATTTGAAAAGTTTTAAATTTTGGTATTTTAGATTTATATTTTAAATGAACGAAATGAGGGGCGCCCGGGTGGCGTAGTTGGTTAAGCGTCCGACTTTCGCTCGGGTCATGATCTCGCGGTTCGTGGGTTCGAGCCC